TTGTACTCCGTATTACTTAGCCCTAGAGCATATTGGGCTAGAGGCCGGTTCACTAATTACATACTTCCTCATTTGAGAAAATATTTTCTCTTTCATTTTTTCGGTTTCATCAAAGCACTTCTTTTTTATTAAAATAGTTAATATGTCCAAATAAAATCATTCCAATATACGTCAACTATATAATAAGTGATTTGTCACTATTTTCTTTTCAACGCTAAGAGCTGTGGAAATCCCCATGGAGCCCTAGGCTTTGACCGATATTTCTTAAGGATTTACTCGTAAATAGACCTCATCAAAATGCATGCATGCATGACCAGGTTTCATGCTAGGCCAAGGCATTATATTATGAAAGTTTTCTAATGTGCCAAACTGCTAGGCCAAGCCCTAACCCAGCCCACACAAGAACATGTGGGCTTTAGGCCGGCCCAACTGCAAAATCAATGAGCTCAATGTGCGTAACTGCTAATACGTCCAGCAACTTCTAGATCACTTGGCTGGTTACAGCAAAGTGTTACATTTGAATCACGTGGATGGTATGCTTAATTGAGAGGAGGTAAATAAGTTCCGATTTCAAGTGAGCAATAAGGAATGAAATTTGACCTTAATCCCGGCCACTATACACCCTTTGGCATCCCCGCTTGAACGCCTCCCTGGCTAATGGCATGTCATGCAAGTAGTTTTAGTTATAGGTCAAACTCTCGGTTCCACCGGTCACGTTTTTCCCACTTGCTTTTTTGGAGACTATGCCTGATCACACACACACACACATTGCTTCTCAAAGCCCCAATACCAACCAGTCTCCTGAAAACTGCGTCATCCAATTCACTTGGCTTATTTGTTGCACCTAAAATAACAAACAGATAAGTTGGGCAGGGAAGAAAAACATTTTATATGGTACTCGTATAACATTTGAAAAAAAAAGACTAGATGTTTCAAACTAACAATTTAGACAAGACATATGATAAAGAGAAAATTATGGGGGAAAATTACTCTCTGTACCAAAATGAAGTTTACATTTTTCTTTTTGGGATGTCTCGATGTAGAATTTACAGTTTCCGGTTAAGGAAATGAATATGTGGCTTATAACAATGCATCTTACCAATAACAATTACCAAATCATCTGAATTAGATGTAACCCCATCGAATTGGATAAGGAATTCAGATTTCAATTAACCTCCTGCTGGATTCATACTCGTTGGTCATCCTAGTTGACATAATACTGTCAATCTGTTAACCACATAAACATTCTCAAAGGATCACAAAAAGGACGACAATACTAACGGCAAGAAAAACAACCAATATAATTCCTTTAAGGCCCATTTTTAGAGACACCAAGGAGACATATGCGCTGCTGCCTTACTCTATTTTCCCTTTAATTTGACTTGTTAACTAAAATGCTAAACTTTAGCAGCCAAATGCAACTCTAGCCAAAGTTTTAAATCTCTGCACAACGTAGTTATGTACCGATGCTGTTTTTGTTCCAATTTTTGCCCAACTTACACTTTTTGTTAAAATTTAATCTGAACCGGCACTGTGATATGAACCCGTCTCCATATATCTATTTTTTTCACCTTGTCACTGCCAGAGTGATAAAATAAACCTAATAGTTATAGTCCTAACCCAAGTGATAATGCTAACAACATTTGTTTCACATAAACGTGCAAAGATCCCTTCCTCTTTCCCTTGGAGGGAGAAGAATTGACAAGCCAGCAAAAACAACCACCAACTTGTCAGTGTTATAGATAGACCGTACCTCATCCATAAAAATTACTGATGCTTGCCTAGAAATGGCAACCGTGAAAGGGGTTCGAACAAGATTTTCACCCTATCCCACCTGTCAAAGGCAAAGAAACTGAGAAACTAGAAAACTTAATATTACACTTTACGAACAAAGAAAGCCAGCAGCCAAATCAAACACTCACCCACTTTGATGTTAGGGGGGAAGCAGACACACCGAAGAATGTTGCCAGTGACTCTGAAGCAACTGCTTTGGCAAGCATGGTGTTGCCAGTACCAGGTGGACCAAAAAGAAGCAGACCTGCATGACAGAAGCCACAGAGCTATTGTCATAAAAGACCTCTGTTATTTAGGTGATAGAATGGCACTGGCCTCTGTGACAGAATACCTCTTGCAGGCTTTCTAAGTCATGTAAAAAGGTATTGCCTTTTGGTTGGCAGTATTACCATTTCCAGCAGAGCTTGTTTTGCATTTTCAAGCCCAGCTGTAGAAATTTAAATTTGTAAATTACAAAATATTAATAGATTAAATATTGAAACAAATGGAATATGACAGACAGATTCTCACCAATCTCTTCCCATTTTACAGGACTTCAATCCACAATCACAGAATTTATCATTTCAGTCAACTTTGCATCATATCCACCACTGGACTCTTGTACAGGTTTTGAGCTTCCAACTTTTATAGATTTGGTCAAAACAAAATCCCTGTGCTTGTTGGATCCAGAAGGCTTTTCAACTGCAGATTTTCTAAGATAAGAGCTTGTAGCCAAAACAGATGTATTCTGGACCCGAGGAGCGCCATTATGAAAATAAAATACTCCATAATAATTTTCAGAAGAGCGTAGCACCTAAGCCAAAAGTCTGGTGATCGAGGATCTTCCCACCAAGCCACTATGGAAATTATCAAAGGTTTAAGTAGTTTAATCTATCCACATAGCCCTTACAAATTAGACAATTTGAGGAAAAGAGTGGACTTGAAATGCCAAACAATTCAGTAGATATATTTTAAAATAGTCTTCAAATATTCCGTAATAAACTATAACGTCCCAAGACTCCCAACCCAGTTGGTTTATGAAATCAATGCACATGAACCAGAACAATACAAACGTACACTTTGTTCGAAGCAGACCATACCTTGATTAGAGCAGATGTACTACCTGAAGAACCTGCCAGCAGGAGGATAGTAAATTTAACTATATATCTATAACTAGTCCAAATGGGATCAAATACAAAAAAGAACTAGACCTGCTCTTTGGCTTAAAGTTTGAATTCTCTCTGCAACCTGACCCTGCCATTGTGACATCTTTTGGCAAAAAGATTTGGCCTTTTCTAGTTCACTGCCACAAAACACTAAAACAGCTCACCAACAACTCACTCAACAGTAAACAGTAGTAATTTCCAAAACATTTTCAGTTCAATTAAACCAATGTTTGAGGTGTTGCCAGCTGGTAAATACGTAGAACACAGAAACTCAACATCAGATACAGCAACTTTGTGAGTGTGTGTGGGGTGAGGTTGGGTTAAATGCCTCTCTTTAACCTCTTTCAGCATTTCTTTTTATCTTGGCTACTCTTTGGCACAACATAAATAACTTATACATCTGTGCTGCAACAAAATCAAATTTTGTACGATATGCAGCAATGGGGCTATCTAGATGAAGTAAAAGCCTATGAAAAAAATCCAGTGGCTGACTCTAAGAAGCTCCTTCAAAGTATTCACCATCTAATATTTTAATAGCAATTTAACAATAAAGCACTTCCTGAAAGGAGCATATAAATATTCAGTTTTTTTGTACCAAGAAGATCAAATTAAACTAGCACAAAAAAAAATGGAGCACCTTGATGTGATGCACGAAGGAACAGGGGTAGAAATGCCTTCTAAAAGAACTCTCTGACAGCTTTGGCGGTCTCTTCTTTGGCAAAATCAAAGTAGGTTTTGAGCTTGTAAGCCGTGCATCGTTACCGGTGCAGCCGGAACGGCCGTCAGGGTTTCAATGAGATTCCGGCGAAGAAGAAGAAGTGTTGATTGTGGAAGATCGAACTTATGTTCGGTTCCATGCTTTAGCTATGGAATTTAAGAGTAATTCAGGGTGTGTATTGTAATTTTTAGGTGTATTTAATTGTAAATAGAAATAAATGGAATTTAAAAGTTTAGGTGTATTTAATTGTAATATTTTAAAATCTATAAAAATTTGGGTGTATTCAATTAGGATTTTAAAAAGTCATTACAAATTCAACTAAAGTCTAGCCGTATACAAAATAGACTTTTAAAATTGAAAAAAAATCTACAAGTATTCAAATTAATATTAAACCTATGGATTTAATAAAATCATTTATATATGAAGATATTTTACTCTAGGACTATATATATTCTTTCTCCATTTTTTTCTTCACGCAGGAGCTGGTATTCTCTATAGACTTTTTTACGCAAGAGCCCTAGATCCACCGTCAAAGTCTGATTTCTCCTCAACTGCCGGAGCAAGTATTCTTTGTCGCCTCAAATGCTGGACCTGGTATTCTTTTGGACAATTGATCTCCAAAGCAATTCTGAGGCACGCTATTCAAATTCATGTTTACCTGAGGTCGGAGGAAATTTGGATTTCCTTACAAAGGATTTTGATTTTTGTCGGCATCAACCCAGTACAGTAATTAAATGGGATGACTAGAACTGTACTTACCCACACAATATTATCCAAAATTTTATTGAACTTTAACTTTTTTACAGTTAACAAGGTTGACCTTTTTTTACTGATGTATCAATTAAAATAAATGTGCAAAAAGTATAACTCAATTTTATGAAAAAAGAAGGTTCCTTGCATGTATTTTTAATGAAAAATGAAAAATAAATATATGGAGTAACAAAAAACTAAAAAGACAGACCAATCACACAATACTAACATGACTGGAAGAGTTATGTGTGAAATTTTTAAAGTAAAATCACTATCGCACATGATCTCTAAAATTTTTGGGTTCTATATTTTTAAATCCATCATTAATTTTGAAGTATAAATATTTTAAAATAACAAAGTAGGACTCAAAATGTGAATTTTAGACTAGACTAATTTTATTTTTTCATTTTTCTAAGTCCTATACCACTGTATCATTTACCTTCGCGTAATATCTTGTACTTATTTTTGTTTGTGAGAGTTACAAGTTTACAACCATTGATCTATGGTATTTGGCATAGACAATCTATGTCTTAGGTTTGTGTACAAATCGGGTTAGCTGTAGGTTAAGTTAATTCTTAGAAAAATGGTAGGTACACCGAAATGCTCTAATTCTTGGAAGTACCCGAACAGTGCTGTTTGGGAGGGATGTGTTCAACAATTATGGTCAAAATTGTGTTCAACAACATGCTCCACATGATTTTCGACCTAAATTGTGTTTTTTATTAAACATTTTTTTGATTCATCTGTTCGCATTTACCCACTCTCGGTCGACTTCGCTTCAAGTTGTTGCTGGTTTGTTCCGCTGAGAAGGTGCCACAGAGAAGTCATGCGTTGGACTGGTCGCTTTTTTTTTTTGAATCTCCGATTCTTTCTACAACCCATCGGCTTCCGTTTCATATAATCATAATCGAACATGGTGAGTCACTGAATTTTTCTCTGCTCTCCTTTTGCACTGTATTTCCTGCTAGATCTGATTTGGTTCAGCGAAATTGTGATAAGAGATTTGGTATTCCTTATTCCCATGCGAATTGTGTACTAATTAGCTACTTCTCTCATTGCTAATTGGTTTACGGATTCGTGATTAGTTTGTTGAACACTTTGTTTTGTAACATCTGGTATGTTTTTGTGGTTACTAACTAAAATTTCGTTTCTTTTCTTGTGCGGTTATGTAACATGTAGCCTCTGAAGTTGGAGATCAAGGTATTATAGCCTCTATAATTTCCAATGCAACTTTACAGATTTGCATTTGTGTTTATATCTCCTTTTTTAAAAATATATATCCTCAATGCTACCTCTTTTTTATTGGAGGAGAGAAAACTTGCTCAACGACCAGAAAGATTGAAATCCATGGATCTGCATCGAATGGAGCCATGATAAATAAGAATACTGTCAAGTTTGTAATTTTGGGACTATTTACATCTAGCCAAACACAGTTAAGGGAAATTTACCACAGTGGTACACTTTTTTTGAGCAAAGAGTGGTTTACCGTTTACGGTTTACCTGTTACGAATGTGTTAAGTTGTGCAAGGTTAGTCAAGTTTCCCCCCCTGCAATCCTCAACAAGTCTCACTATTATCATCACGCATAGCTTCTTAGCTAAAAATGTCTACATATACATGTATCGCATTCCAGAAATATAAGTCACTTCCAAGAATTTTGTTGACATTATCTTATTCTATAAAAATTTGATTATTTCAAAGTCTCAGTGTAGATCAATTTCTCTCATAAGTCCTATTTCGAAAAGTAATGAATTAGGCTCTGTTATCTTCAACTTACTGGTGTTTATTCAAATGATTCACAGGGCAGGATTGGTGTTGATTTCTTTTTTTAGACTCATTAGAGCTCTATTATAGGCTAGCGAGTAATAGCAATGATATTATAACTCCATCCATAGTTCCATACCCAAATCTCTATTTCCATCTAAAAATGACATGTATGTAGATTAGATTGTTCTCTTCGACTTACTCCTATTATTTATTAATTAATCTTATTGGAATCGTATCAACCCCATCGACGTTGATATTTAAAATAATCTATTGTAAATTGATAATATGTTACTCCATACATGCCATGCTTTTTTGTCTTGGTATAGATAGAGGTATCTAATTGTTATTTTTCATCTTTCAACTTGACGTGTCTTATATCTGATAGGTAGCAAGGTACAATGACATTGAAGATATAAAGAGCTAAGTATCCCACAATGTATCACTTCAAAAGACTCACAGGCTCAAACTGGTATGTATGTATATATGTGTGTGTGTGTGGCCAATTTAGTGATGGGCTCTAGGATGCTGACATTTGGCACTTTCTAAAGTGCTGGCTTTTTGACATGTGGACAATTTAGTGATGACAAGTAAAAAAAATATGAGCCTTCTTCCCAGACGAAACATCTCGAAACACGCTTCCATATTTGTATCTCTTCCCCCTATATTCATTCCAATTTCATTCCAAATTGATTGCCTCTTCCTCATTGGATAAAAATCTCCAAACAGAGTTAGATACCAGAATTATACAAATTTCTTGAGCCGATTCCCACCCTTTTTTCTAAAGGCCGATCCTCACCCCTAAATTGCTGGATTCAGACTTGTTTCCTATCAGAAAATATATACGGCACTTCAAATGCTGTCCAAACTAGGTTTTCTTCTTCTTCATTTATCAATTAATTTCAAAATGGAATCTTCTCTTTATTTTCCTGCTTTAAACTTATGGCCACTGTTTTTTTCACTTCTGCATTTCTATTTTCTGCTATTCACTAGCGCTTAATTTTACTATGGGTTGGTTTTTTTGTTGTTTGTATAAATTGTTATGGCTAATTGACTATCACTTTGTTAGAAATCCAGTTGTCGCTCCTTAATTTTAGCTATTTTAGTTTAGTTAGTTGAGTCTTTTACGGAAGATATTTTCTTCTTGGAGACTTCATATATAGATGCTTCTGTATTCTCTGTAATAATGAACAATGTTATCACAGTAATTTTTCTTCGTTCTTCTTCTTCATACGTGATGGTCAAGCATTCAAATCTAACATGGTATCAGAGCTTGAAGATCACGATCTTCAAATTACTTCTCTAATTTTTCCGCAAAATCAATTCCGCAATTGATCTTCGTTGTCTGTTCTTCCGATTCACCTTCGCTGATCCTCGCTGTAATGACGACAACTTCTACGACTCTCAGCTCATCCGATCCTCTCTATTTTCATCCATCAGATCATCTTGGCCTACTGGTATCTAAACAGTTTGATGGCGAAGGTCTATATTTTTCTCAAGCTGGAGGTCTATATTTTTCTCAAGCTTCTTCAGAGTCTTCTCATCAACACTCCACCTCAATTCCTCTCCATACAAGTCCAGCTTCATCAACTTTGTCTTCTTCTGTTTCTATGTCTTCTTGTAATTCCAAACAGAAATGCAATGATGTTGTTAAACTTTGGCATATGCGTCTAGGGCATTTACCTGCTTATAAACTTAAATCTGTATGCCCTATCAATAATGAGAGTTATGATTGTCTAGACACTTGTGCCATTTGTCCTAAAGCTAGACAACATAGATTACCTTTTCCTTCAAGTACTAGCAAAAACAGTCATCTTTTTGAGTTAGTTCATATTGATCTCTGGGGACCTTATTCCACAAGAACTCATAATGGTTTTCATCATTTTCTCACAATAGTTGATGATTATTCTAGAGCAACTTGGACATATCTGATGAGTGTTAAAAGCAATGCTCCTGAATTTATCAAGGCCTTTGTTGAAATGGCATTAACTCAATTTGGTTATCCTGTTAAATCCATACGTTCAGATAATGCCTTGGAATTGGGAAAAAGTAAAGAAACCATGACATATTTTTTATCCAAGGGCATTTTCCATCAAACCAGTTGCACAGCCACTCCACAACAAAATGGAATCGTTGAAAGGAAACATAAACATTTGCTTGAAACCTCAAGAGCTTTGCTTTTCCAGTCAAACCTACCTTTAAAATTTTGGGGGGAATGTGTTCTTACAGCCACCTATCTCATTAATAGGTTTCCTACTAAATTACTTGAAGGCAAAACACCTTATGAACGTTTATTTGGGGTAGTGCCTACTTATGATCATTTAAGAGTTTTTGGTTGTTTGTGCTATGTCTCTACTCTTAAATCTGGAAGATCTAAATTTCAAGCTAGAGCACATCCAGCTGTTTTTCTTGGCTACCCATATGGCAAGAAAGCATATAAAGTTTTCAATCTTGAAACCCAAAAACTTGAAGATTCAAGAGATGTTGTTTTCCACGAAACCATCTTCCCTTATCATTCCACAAATAACCCCTCTTCTTTCATGTTTCCAGTTCAGCCTACCTTTGATTTTTCCAATACTGATCCTGCAACATCTCCCTCATCTGTTCCTCCCAGTTCTACTCTCTTCCCTCATCAAGATGTTGAGTCTTCAATTCCCTCTCATTCAGAGTCTCTTTCTCTCACAGATCCTCCCTTGCGTAGGTCCACCAGAGATTCTCACCCTCCATCATATCTTCAGAACTATGTCTGTCAGAATGTCATTCTTGATTCACCGATGTCATCTCCTCTCAACTGTCCTCATACCTTAACTTCTTTTTGTTCCCCAACACACATATGTTTTAGTGCTCTAACCAAGCCTAGTCAGCATTTTTTGCATATGGTTTCACAATTGCAGGAACCAAACAATTATGAAGAGGCTAAGAAAGATCCTGCCTGGCAAGCTGCCATGAATAAAGAACTGGAAGCTTTAATGCTTACTGGCACTTGGGAAGTTTCTGAGTTACCTAAAGGCAGAAAGCCCATCAGTTGCAAGTGGGTGTATAAGCTTAAGTATAGGTCTGATGGTACCCTAGAAAGAAGGAAAGCTCGCCTTGTTGCCAGAGGATGTTTTCAGAAAAAAGGAGTAGATTATCATGAAGTTTTCTCTCCTGTTGTCAAAATGACAACCATCAGAGCTCTAATTGCTACAGCTGTTAAAAAGAACTGGCCCATGTATCAACTTGATGTAAATAATGCCTTTCTTCATGGCAATCTTGATGAGGAAATTTACATGAAACCTCCACCTGGGATGCATATGGCTTCTTCAACCCAAGTTCTTAAACTTCGAAAGTCCATTTATGGTCTAAAACAAGCCTCTCGACAGTGGTATGCCAAACTCACTGCACCATTAAGACAAAGAGGATATATGCGCTCACCAAACGATTATTCTTTGTTTTCTAAACGTATGGGCACTTCAGTAGTTCATCTGGCTGTTTATGTCGATGATGTCCTCATTACTGGGGATCGCAATGATGAAATTCTTCAACTCAAGGCATATCTTGACAATGTTTTTAAGATAAAAGATTTGGGCTCTCTCAGTTATTTTTTGGGTTTGGAGATCGTTTATGAACCACATGGTGTTATTCTTACACAACGGAAATTTGCATTGGATCTTTTACAGGAGTTTAACTGTTATGACTCCACCTCTGTCAGTTGTCCCCTAGAAGCTCACCTTAAACTCAAACCCTCCGATGGCTTTCCTCTCTCTGATCCCAGTCTTTACAGACGTTTGGTTGGGAAACTCAACTTTCTCACGCATACTAGACCTGATCTGGCATATGTTGTCCAATACCTTAGTCAATTTATGAGTGATCCAAGGCAGCCACACTGGGATGCTGCTGTTCATACTTTACGCTACATTCATCATAGTCCTTCTCAGGGTCTGTTCTTTAATTCTACTCAAAACTTCAAATTAGAGGCATATTGTGACTCTGATTGGGCTGCGTGCCCCACTACCAGGCGTTCCGTCAGTGGGTTCTTTATTCTTCTTGGAGGCAGCCCCATATCCTGGAAATCAAAGAAACAACACACAGTTTCTTTGAGCTCTGCTGAGGCTGAATACAGATCGCTTCGCCGTGTTACTGCTGAACTCTCTTGGCTTTCCCGGCTGTTGACTGAGTTTGATGTACCTGATATTATCCCCATCTCTGTCAAGTGTGACAATCAAGCTGCCATATACATTGCTCACAACCCAGTGTATCACGAGCGTACCAAACATATTGAGATCGACTGTCACTTTGTGCGTGAAAAATTACAAGATGGTCTGATTGCTTTGCATCATGTTTCTAGTCCCAACCAACTTGCTGATATACTCACCAAAAGCCTGCCAGGTCCCTTGCATCATCACTTTCTATCCAAGTTGGGTGTTCAAGAACCCTCCAACTTGCGGGGGGATGTTAGAAATCCAGTTGTCACTCCTTAATTTTAGCTATTTTAGTTTAGTTAGTTGAGTCTTTTACGGAAGATATTTTCTTCTTGGAGACTTCATATATAGATGCTTCTGTATTCTCTGTAATAATGAACAATGTTATCACAGTAATTTCTCTTCGTTCTTCTTCTTCATACGTGATGGTCAAGCATTCAAATCTAACACACTTCAATAAAAAATCTTTATTGATGAATTTGTAAGTTAAAATTTCATTTGTTGTTGTCGGTCTCTTTTTTTGTGATGTTCATTTCATACTAGATCAATCTATTCTCTTTAATTTGTATATTGTTACAAACTTACAAAAGTAACCTGTATTTCAATTGAACTATGATGATTAGATGATTTAAAGAACCCTTTTTTTCTACAGGGAACTATCCATGCTTTTGTCTGTATGAGGTTGAAGAAAATCAAGTGGTGTGAGTGTGACTGATAAAGAATACGTACAAACGAGATGCTCTTACTCTCCACCCAAGGTAAACAAGCATTCATGATAAATCTTTTTGTAAGGTTTCTTGCAAAAGATTCTTATATCGTCATTTGTTACCAGTTTTATAATATAACTTCATTTCTGTCAAAGACTAATACCTTTTCCTATTGTTGTGGCCAAACCTATCTACCACCTAACGAAAATCAACCTAAAGTGTGAATGTTTGATTATTATGGTTTGTGTGATACGGCTATATGCATTACCCGTGTTTAATGATGACAAAAGAATAAATTTCAATTGAGATGCTCTTCATGGATACATGTTAGTCGAAAATTCACGTTCTTGGAAATTTTAGTAATTTAAATAAAGGTTTGTTTGTTTTTATATAAACTCTTGTTTCTTCTTTAAGTGCTGGAATATTCAAATGCTCACATGAACTTTATTTAGTTTAATCTATGTGTGCATTCCAAAGCTTTGTATGTAAAATGTTCATTACTAAAAGAATATTTTAGAGCTCCTTACTTTTACTTAGTGAATATTTTAAAGCTATGCATATAAATTATATATGTTATGTGTTACTTGTTTTTAGAATCACACGATACAGAAGCATGATTAATTGGGATTGGTATATCGAAGAGAATAACATATACACATGCATGAGGTGGTTAACAAAAGAAAAAGCAAAATAAAAAAAGACATTTGACAATACCTGTATTATTACTGTTTTTTATCCAAGCAGGTATGGTTCTAGCTTTTAAACAAAGAAAAAGCAACACATAATAAGTACACTTCTTTATTATTGTTGTCTTTTTTATCTAAACATGTATGTCTTTGATAAGTTTGCTTATTTTGGCACAGGTAATAGTACTAGACTTAATCTCCCTTTGAGACACCAGTTTTGCCTAAATTTCTAGGAACGAACAGCCATCACTAAAGTTAGTTTTGCTAAATCATCTTCATAACTTTTATGCTTTTGATGATTTAGCACCAAATAATTAAAGAAATCATCCTTTCATGCTTTTCCCTTTTATGCAAGATGGTGATGGTCAAGTATGTAGTGAGGGCGAACCGGTGAAATGCTTGGAGACACCAGTTTTGCCTTTGAGACACCAGTTTTGCCTAAATTTCTAGGAACGAACAGCCGTCACTAAAGTTAGTTTTGCTAAATCATCTTCATAACTTTTATGCTTTTGATGATTTAGCACCAAATAATTAAAGAAATCATCCTTTTATGCTTTTCCCTTTTATGCAAGATGGTGATGGTCAAGTATGTAGTGAGGGTGAACCGGTGAAATGCTTGGAAAAAATGTCATTGGCCGAAACAAAGTAGATTAATAATAGAGCTTCAAGATTTGGAGTTTTCACTACATATGATCTTCTGAATATATTTGTGGGTAAATAATACTCCATACATGGTACTAAATCTATTTTTATCATATCTATATAATTGTCTGAAATTGAGGCTCACTCTTTGGGACATAAGCATATAGCCATATACATGATTACCAAATTAAAGTGAAAAATTGCATTGAACGAACATTTGACAACTTTATTACCCAAAATTAACAATTCTATTTTGCACACCATCACAATACATGGTACATGGCTAAAGACCAATGCATTAATTATTTGTTACGTAGTTCTACAGGGTATCTCCTTTATAAATCTGTGACTCCAAACTATGAGAAGCTTCCATTTGGAACTTTGAAAACATGCCATTTCGCACATTTTAAAGTTGGGTTTTAGACAACTACGCATCTCTTCTTCGCCTGTCCAAAATTACACAGCCCCTTCTTCAGCATAAACATCTCCCGATTCTCTCCATTTCCGATTCTTTCTAAGCGGAAAATTCGATCTCTTTCCTTCTTCAGCTCCGGCCTCCTTCCTTCTTCAGCAATCAGTTGATTTTCTATGCCTACTCTCTGATCTCCTTCTTTCTTCCGCAAGGGGAATCCAGTCCACCAATTCGACTCACCAAAACTCCAAACCAGGTTTTCTTCTCCTTCTTCGTTTATCAGTTAATCCCAAAAATGAGTGTTCTGTTTATTTTCCTGCTTTAAACTTATGGTCTTTGTTTTTTCGCTTCTGCATTTCGATTTTCTGTTATTCACTAGCGCTTAATTATACTATGGGTTAGGTTTTTAATTGTTCGTATAAATTGTTATGACTCACTTTAATGAAAAACATCTTTATCGATGAATTTGTAAGTTAAAAATTCATTTGTTGTTGTCAATCTCTTTTTTGTGATTTTTATTTCATACTATATCAACTTATTCTCTTTAATTTGTATATTGTTACAAACTTATAAAAGTAACTTTTATTTCAATTGAAATATGATGATTAGATGATTTGAAGAACCCTTTTTTTCTACAGAGAACTACTATGCATGCTTCTGTCCGTATAAGATTGAAGAAAATCCAGTGGTGTGAGAGTGACTGATAAAGAATATATAAAAACAAGATGCTCTTACTCTCCAGCCAAGGTAAACAAGCATTCACGATACATTTTTTGGTAAGGTTTCTTGGACAAGATTCCCTGATATCGTCATTTCTTACCAATTTATAATATAACTTTATTTCAGTATATTCTTGCTTTCCATTTTGCTTAAAATGCAAAACTATGCTGAAATAAAAGTGTGCTTAAAGTAAAACTTACTAAGTACTCCTTCTGTCTTAAAACGTTCTGTGCATTCCAAAGCTCTGTATGGATGATGTTCATTACTAAGTGAATATTTTAGAGCTCCTTAATTTTACTTAGTGAATATTTTAAACCTATGTGTATAAATTACACGTTATGTGGTATCTGTTTTGTGGCATCTGTTTTTAGAATCAAACGATACAGAACCATGATTAATTGTGATTGATATGTCGAAGAGACTAATATACACACACGTACACGAAGTGGTTAACAAAAGAAAAAGCAAAACAGAAAAAAGACATTTGATAATTCCTGTATTTTTACTGTCTTTTTCATCTAAGCAAGTGTGGTTCGAGCTTTTAAACAAAGAAAAAACAACATAGAATAAGTACACTTCTGTATTATTACTGTCTTTTTCATCTAAGCAGGTATGTCTTTGATAAGTTTTCTTATTTTGGCGCAGGTAATAGTACTGGATTTTATCACCCGTAGAGACACCAGTTTTGCCTAAATTTCTAGGAAAGAACAACCGTCACTGAAGTTAGTTTTGTTAAATCATCTTCATAATTATTATACTTTTGATAATTAAGCATCAAATAATTAAATAAATCATCCTTTTCTGCTTTTCCCTTTTATGCAAGATGGTGTCGGTCAAGTATGTAGTGAGGGTGAAATGCTTGGAAAAAATGTCAATGGCCGAAACGAACTTGATTAATAAGAGAGCTACAAGATTTGGAGTTTTCACCACATTTGATCTTCTATCGGTAGTTCTAGGTGAATAATACTCATACACAGTACTCACTCTCTGGGACATAACCGTATACGTGATTACCAAAGCAAAAAATTGCTTTGAACGAACATTTGACAATTTTATTACCCAAAATTAAAATTTCTATTTTGCACACCATCACAATACATGGTACATGGCTAAAGACCATTGCATTAATTATTTGTTACGTATTTCTACATGGTATATCATGGCTAAGCAGGCAAGATTTTTAATTGCATTCCTTTTCTTTTTTACCTTTTGTGTTGAGGTTGAATACACGATGTATGTTTTTCACTTTGTTTTATTACAGTACATTGTGGAAGTCCAGGAGCATCATTGGGAAGAGATGCTATCGTACCTGAGTGTGAGATGATCTACCATCTCTGCTCTAATGCTCTCTCCGCTCTTATTCAACGCAAGACGCCGATGACGACAACAATGTGGGCAATTACTTGGCCCATACTCAAGGGAAGCACCACATGACCAATTAGGCCAAGTGGGCAGCCGGCGAGGCCAAGGAGGAACCTGCTAGGCCGCTCTCTCATCCACTCAAAATCTCTCGAAAAAGGTAGGTATAAATACTTCATATATATGTATTCAACTTCTATTTGTCTTTCTATATTTGTTTTATTTCTGAAAAGTTTATTCAATTATATCAATCTTGGTAACATTATATTCGGATGATAAAAGTTCAGAGTCTATTTATTAGGGTTTGGGCAAGTGTTAAACGGTGGTCAGGCTAAAATTAGATCTATCAGTATTTGTGGTTTCCTCACATAGAAGTATATATTTGTTAATTTACACTTGCCCACTTACAATGAAAAAATGTTTTTAAAAATTTACAAGTTTGAAATTTGTTTTTGTGATTTGTTAGTTCCATTATTTAGAAAAATAGTTGTATGTTGCAATGAATGTTGGTACTTGGTAGGCCTGGTTGTCTGGTGAGCAGTGACAAAGCAGTTTGGTGTAGATACAAAGCAGCGTTATCTTCTTTTATAGATTTGACTGCTCTCTTTTTAAAAATATAGTCCAAACATTTTTTCTTCATACTTTGCTGTGCATAATCTTCCACTTCAATACTACGTCCATGGTTTTGGATATTTGATGTTTGGTTGAAATTGATCTTGCTAGGCTTCATTTATACTGAAGTTTGTAACTCCAAATATGTCATCAGTTGAAGTATATCCATGTATTGTATGCTGTACATTATGCAGTTGTTATCCTTTTTTCTTATCTTGAGTTCTATTGATTCGATTATAATGTTATTTGTCCATACTTTCTCAACCTAATGATGAACACTGAGCCAATGCCTCCATCTCTACTTTGAACTTGGGTAAGTTTTCCCATTACTCTTGGCGAGTGAGCATCCTACTACTAAAGTCAAGGGAGAAGCTCAATTAAACCCTTTGATAACATTACATTGAAGGAAAACTTATAGAATCGACAAAAGATTTATTTCATCTTGTGCGTGGCACGGGTTAAAATGCTATGCTAGTATGTGTGTGTGTGTGTGTTTGTGTGTGTGTGTGTGTGTGTGTATAGGATCTTACAATGTTACCATCTTCATTAGGCCTAGCGATCCGGTGTAGAATCTCGAGTTTGGCTACCATGGCTGATTGTGTAAGTATACTCCATAATTATTAGAAACAAACGGCAATGAAAGATCAGGAATACCTATGGACTACATATTCATCCATCATGCGCTACTTTGTTTCTGTCTGCGGTTTCTTCCACCAAGCCCACCCTTGAAGAGAAGGCTAAGAGTCACGATTGAACCATTGAAGTGGTTGTGGGCAATGCTTTGACGGAAGAGCAAACGAATATACAAAGATTAGAAGACACAAAATTCATCAGTTGTTCAGAGATTTGCCAATTTAGATGTTAGCATACTGGTAGGTTAAATTTATTTTCATTTCATTGCAATTCAGTATTTAATTTGTTATTCTTAAATTGAAATCAATCAATAAAGAGTTTGAATCTTGATTTTTAGGATACCAAAGTATCAAATCCAGTTTTAAATCCATTTAGATTATTATATATACGGTGACAGTGCATAGCCATCAGATCTTGGTGGGGAATTAGATTATTGTCGTAAGCAATTGATACAAGTTGCTATGGCTTTGTTCAAATATGTTCAGGGTGGGAAGATGATTGATTTGTTCCACTTGAAAAGCTTTCGCATGAAACGGGCTGTGCAATTAAGGTTCCAGTTTATAGACTTTGAGAGCTCATCAGTATGGCTATGGTATGGATTGATGAGGAGGTAATTGTTTAAGCTAATTGAGTTTTTGCAGTGTCTGTTTAATTTTTATTTATTGTTTAGTTTAAACAAGATGGGTTTTTATGAATTAGGGTTCTTAAATATATGCCAACATCAAAGGGAATTTTACCCATTTGTTCCATGATTTTCTTAAAGGTGGTATATATTACCGTACATACGAATTTTGGGGTGTCAACAAAATGATGATCCAATTGTATGCCATCTCATTTTCTGGAGTTATTGATGACAGGTTCTCCATAATGCTAATGTAATGTGCTGTTGCCAGAGCTCTTAGGTCATAGTTGTCTACTAGTTTGAGTCGGCCTTGGATGAGTCCCTTGATAACTCGGAATATGTGCACTGTTGGCCATGTGTGCATCAATTGTCCCGTGGCAGAGGCTATGTGGGCCAAGTCACAATCGAATGTCGTGGGCGCTTGTGTGTTGAATGCACTATAAGGCTAGGGTATGCGCATCTTCTAACACCAATTGGTTTTAGAAGAGTTGGTAGCGCCTGAGGTCCTACAAGGTGTAGTGGTATCAGAGCCAAGGTCATGAGTTCGATTCTCAGCGGGAGCAATTGTTGAGGGGGAGATTGTTGGCCATGTGTGCATCAATTGTCCCGTGGCAGAGGCTATGTGGGCCAAGTCACAATCGAATGTCGTGGGCGCTTGTGTGTTGAATGCACTATAAGGCTAGGGTATGCGCATCTTCTAACACCAATTGGTTTTAGAAGAGTTGGTAGCGCCTGAGGTCCTACATGCACCCCCATCTAAGCTAACTTACTGCAATCTTTACATTGTAAAACTGAACTCTCAGGTTTCCTTAAAGTGATAAGGAGGGGTCTCGAGTTTATTATGAGCAACAACATTTTCTTATCCTATTGATAGAGAGACCTTAGGTACCCAGAAAAACACATTAGCCCATATGCACACACCTTTCTGCAACAACATAAACTTACAGAAACATCAAGACAGATGAAAAAAATTCAAGTAGTTTTTCTGACTTTAAAATTTAAATAATATTTTCCCCACCACAGTGAGCACCATTTTCAGACTGCTTTTTTTTTAACGTAAAAGGACATATGCAGGTATTGTAGGAACGCGGTTAAAGCTCATCACGGCACGTGCCAGCCACATTTTCTGTAATTCTCTTCCAGGCCGGTGCAAGTTTAAAAAGTATATTTCGAAACTTCATCTTGGCCTTTCCCCTTGTTGTTGCAAAGTTGCAGATTAAATTTCCCCTGCTTCCATAACATATTGAGCAATAAATGTAGGAATGCGTCGATGATATAACAGAAAAACCCTCTCTGTTTTTACAGGGGGTAAGGTTACATACATCTTGATCCCTTGACCCTAAAGGACTTGGGGTTTTACTAGGTTTGTTGTTGTATTGCCTTGTTGCTCAGTGCTTCTAGCTATTCTCACCAAGCCTTTTTTCCTGTCCTTTGGGATTTAGGGGTAGTTGTTTTGCTCATCCTTATACTTCTTCTTTCACCTAATTCTTCCAAAGGAGGGGTAATTTCCATTTCTCGTATGAAGATTCTAAAATGCTCTTTTACAGGAGTTCATGATTTTTAATACTTTATGCTATGTCTCAATAACTATTTCCTTCTGGTTTCCACTGTAACAGGCTTGTGGCTTGATTAAATTCAATTATTGTATGATGAAAATGTGTCCACTGCCAATGGATCGAAAAAAGTCATTTTTGACAATTTTTATAGCTTCGAGTAAATAATGGACTAAAGCAAAACTTCCCTTGCTTGAGTTGCTTCTTACAGTCAATGAAGTTTTAGGCAATATATGCATGAATGCATCATAGGTCTAATGAAAACAGTCTCTGCTTTTTTTTACAGCGGTAAGCTTGAGTACATCTTGACCCTTAGACAGACCACTTAGACCCCAACGGGGTTGGGATTATCCTGGGGTTGTCATTGTCGTATTGTATGATGAGAAAATAACTTCAAATATTATCTACTTGTTTTTAGTTGCTTTGAACTTTGTCAACACCTTGTTTCTGCTATGGTAATCAGGTTGGCTTTCAAGCTATATAGCTGAAGCCCTTGGATTGGCTGCTGTGAAGGCAATTGGTGCGGTATCTGCCATTATTGCTGGAGGACGTCTGGTAAGGTATATGTTATTGATATAGATGCATTTACTACTAAGTGATATGATATGTTTCTTACTTTATACTCCGTAATAATCTTTGAAAAATGTGTGTTCTAGAAAGCCAAGGGATATGATAATTCTTCAAATTCGAGCCATTTTGTTTATATTTTTTCCCAATGAATTTTTTATGTTTATGAAGTATGAAACGGTTTTCATGATTCTGTTAATTGCTATAACTTTTATCCTTTATTTTTGAATATGATCTGCAGCTTCTTCGGCCTACTTACAGGCAAATTGCTGAGTTTTTATTTTTCTAAGTGACATCTTATGTAGCATAAGAGTTTTTATTTTTCTGTTTTTTTTTGGACATTTTCCTTCGTTCAAAAAAATGTAAAATCACAGTATCAAGTGGATGAGTTTTTTTTAAACGAAATGAGAGAATTTTGAACACGGAGCAACTAGGTTTGTTTTAAAATAAACTTCTTATCACAGTTCAAATTTTGTTTTAGTCCAATTTATCTTATTTGAATTATTTTAATATATTTAAAAATTGAAGGACTGAATTAAACATTTTCCTTTAAATAAAAAGATTCTAAGAGATTAGTCACTAAAATCTTTAGATGGTTTTTCATAGCCAAGACTACTACTTGATCTATGCGTTATTCTTTGGTAAATGTGTAGCACAACACATTTTAAGGTATATTTCTACTTGAGTTTTGCTTCCATGACTTAAACATGATCTTCAAAAATCTACATTTGAAACGTGTCTTCTCCCATTTTTATTGGCCGACATGGAAATTTTTTATTTTTATCAAAGAGTCTAATTCATCCATGGTATTTATATATTAAGATTCATAAAATGAGTATTTATATAATCTTTTTCGTGCACCACTCAAGCACAAATCTAATTTCTTTAAATAAAATATTATTGTCAACAATCACAACAAAGTCCATGGTGCACAACAATATTATTTCCACTTAAGATCATAAAATGAGTGGTGCACGAAAAAGTGGTCCATTGATATTGTTTTATATCAATACTCATTTTATGAATCTTAATATATAAATACCATGGATGAATTAGACTAATCTTAATTTTTTATATATTTTTATTCTAATACTAATAATTTAAATTTTGATATAATCTTTTTCGTGCACCACTCAAGCACAAATCTAATTTCTTTAAATAAAATATTATTGTCAACAATCACAACATTGTTTTGTGCAGTCCCACTGTTACATTTGTTTGGTGTGAAGAGTTTTTAAGCTTCAATAGGAGAACCATTAAATATGAGAGAATTTAAATCAACCCCCTAAATAAAATTAAAATATATGGAGTTTTGAAGACTTTATTTTTATTGCCATTTCATGGTATCCTTTGACATTAGTGTTGAGGCAAAATTGACAAGAATACTCCCAGAAATTGCAAATTTTACATAATTATTTTCAAATCTGTTTATTTACATAGTTACTCCTACATTTGTCTATTATTTACATCATTGCTCCAAAATTTGATAGTGATCATTAGTGTTACTGCGATGCATTTTTTTGCGCTAAGTGATCAGTTAATATGTAGACATGTATTTTTTCACTCTAATATACTAAATTCACTGCAACTTATTCTCTCCATCGACTTTCTCATGTCTTAGTAAGTCTAATCATTGCCCTTATATTGATCACTTTTTAAAAAAAATCAGATTTCAAACTTCCTAAATCTTTTTAATATTTAATATCAGGTCTGTTCATATTAATTTTAATTGAATTCAATTAAAAAAGATGAAGAACCCTGTTTAAAAAGATGCACCCGAGAAACACTGATGATGAAGCAATTGCGAAGTAATGACGTAAATAATAGACAAATGTGGGAGTAACTATGTAAATAAACAAATTTGGGAGTATTTATGTAAAATTTGAAATTTCTGGGAGTATTCTTGTAAAGTTGCCTAGTGTTGACATTGCTTTGCATTATACAAAGTCCGTTCTATAAAAATTAAAGATCGTATTATAGTATTTACAATATTTTTAGTTCTAATTATGTATTCCTTCCTCAATTAAGCACTCCCTTTATCCCCCGAAAAATTACGATTTGATTTCATTTAATTATTGAAAATAAAAAAAATGTGCACATGGACTTTGTTTAGGGGAGAGAAAGAAATGCTACACACTATTTATAGAGTTATTGTCATCACTACGCGATTTAAATTGGGATGGAGGAAGTACTTTTTTTATGACGGAAAATCAACTCTATTTTTTATTTCCTTTAAATATGTCCAAAAGTCAAAACAGACGATTTAAATTGAGACGGAGGGAGTACCTTTTACGGACAGAAAACACGAGTGAATTTTATTTTGGAAAAAATTGAAAAATAAAAGTGACAATTCTTTCTAGGATAAATGAAATGAATTTTACACCATAGACCATAAATGATTGTGCACTCTTTTACCTTTTATGGAAAGAAAACATGTGTGAATTTTATTTTGGAATGAATTGAAAAAGAAAAGTGACAATTCTTTCTAGGATAGATGAAATGAATATTACTTCTTAGGCCAAAAATGAATGTGTCCATTTAAACCTCACACGACTTTTTTAAAAAAAATTAAAATAATAATAAACCTTTAAAAATGTTTAAACTCTTTATTTCCTAAAATGTTTTGAAAAAAACTATAATGGCCAAAAATATTCACTGAAAGATACAAAACCTTAGTTTCCTAAAACAAAAACATTATATATGGATTATTTAGCCGATCTTATTTTAGAAATACTTAATTATTTTAATATTTAAAAAATATTTTTTAAGTAATCTCATTAGATAATAAATAAAGTGAAAAAGCTTCATGGAGCAACAAGGAGAAATGGAACACACAACCAACCATCTCATTAAATAAACTGAGAATGCTTTTGTTATATACATATCAATGTTAACAAAATATCTACTCAAGAAAAGCCGCTAGTGAGACTCAAGTCCATCCGACTCTGCCAGCTTGTCCCTCTGCCTCCACCCCTGCCCGCCGGCCTACTCCTGAAACGCAATAACCTTCCGGCATATGGGACACGAAGCACTCTGGGCCAATGGGTTCGTTTTCAATTCGGGTCTATTTTGCATACTCTCTATGTCATGATCAATTTGGTCTGGTTCGGTTCTATTCGGGGTCTAACATTTACAAAGTTTATTTTCACCATAAAGTTATCAAAAAACGCTAATGCTAATTGAATATGGTGTTTTTTAAACAAGGCTTATGTTTAATTTGATTCTCTATTTGTTTACGGTTCAAGTGCATCTTAGTTTGGTAAGTTATCGGTTTGGATGGAATGGGTTCGAGTATTAATCAATTTTCAGTCATGGGGTATTAGTTTCTAATCTTTAGACAATAAAATTTAGTGTCGGCATAAAAGAATGCAATGGAGATTGGACTGTAATGGCCAAATTCAACGAAGGATTATTCAAGCAATCCGTCCAACACACTACACGATAAGGGAGTCACCTTCCTAACTAGATGACAAGCCATTAAAAGATAGAGGCGATCACCCTGCACTACCCAGGAACGTGGTCTGACGTGGGTATGCGACGTCTTGTCCCCTACCTCTAGCTTCTTATTATAATACGGAGTAATTACTTGTGTAACCCTCAAATGAAGGAGGCAATTTCTTCTCACTAAGCTCTTGTGTAAAGACGCATGTGCACTTTGCTATATTCAAATAACAATTGGGCTACATGTGTATCACCTATAGTCCTCCTGGTTAATTTGCGTGTTTGTTATCTTTTACTTTCTTGAATATAGTAAACATTTCTAGACTTGGTCTAGTATTCTTTACCCGGTTTGGTAATTTACATCATCAGTACGTATTTAGTTCTTTTAATTCTACATCATTTTCAAATAAAATGTTAAAAATAAATTCAATCAAATATCGTAAATCGAAACATGAGATTTAAATTGGAGGGGAGGGAGTAAGATAAAACAAATTCAAGACTGAAAAAAAAAAGAAAAAGAAAAAATATACTCCCTCCGTCCAACAATTAAGTTCACATTTATTTACAAGGTCAAACTGTTTTCACTTTGTTGACGTATTTTCGTGTCTTATTTGTTAAAATAATATAGTCATGTTACCACTTATTTTGTAGATTTTTTCATGTAATTTTTAAATATATAATTTTTATTTTTTAATTCATACTCTTTTCATATAAAATGATTTAAATTAAAAAATAAAAATTACATATTCAAAAACTAAATAAAAAAAGATTTATAAAACTAATAGTGACATGACTATATTATTTTAGAAAATGACTAAAAATAGAGAAAAATGTGAATAATAATAATCAGACAATGTAAAAAGGAAGGGAAGGAATCTCTTTCCATCACAATACTTAATTTAAAAAAAATCTAATTTAAACTATCCCTTTAAATGCCCTCAGGTCCCTCACTCACCTTCCTCGCCCTAGCCTCTCTCACTCAGATCACTCCTATCTCTCTCTCTCTCTCTCTCTCTCTCTTCTCACCTTCAATTCATGGACGCCGAAATGCCGAACACCACGAGGCCATTTCTCCGCTACACGGTCATCGTGCTCGTCATGGTGGCCATCGTGCTCGTCGTGGTGGCAGCGGTATGCCTCCTGAGGTGCCTCTATCGCTGTTTCCGCCGCCGCGAGACGGCGGAGGAGTAGTTGGTTGGTTTTCTTCCTAGCTAGATTTGGTTCCTTCTCCATCATCTTCTTCTTTTAATGTTATGTTTGTAGATTATGTTCCTTCACCTTCTCCTCCTCCTTTTTCTTCTAATGTTATGTTTGGATGTTGTTTTTCATCATTAATGGAAATCCTTTTTAATTCATCATTATATTTGCTTTTATATGTTTTTCTTTATGTGTGGTGTGTGATTAATATTTAATTATCTATCTTGCTATATACAAAAAGGCAAAAGAAATTGGAATGAAAAAAAGAAGAAGTTAAAAAAGGTGTTTTCCTGCCCAACAATATATCAGATGCGGTATTCATTGTCGATGCACTATTGAGATTTGGGATTAATCGTCGGTTCTCTTGTTTCTTACCTTCTAACAAATTTTGGGTGGTAACAAGTAATGGTCAAATAATAATTGAAGCTTCATTCTGTTTTTTTTTTATGAGGTAATTAAGATTATTTCATAAATTTTAACCCCCCAGTAGAGTTATCGCTGAATCTGTTGCTTACGGAGGGGATGAGAG